TGGCTTTAAAAATGCACCTAGTATGGCTACAGGGAAATTAAGTAGCATCTTGAACATTCCAAATGGAGGACACAGAATATCCAAAATCTTCTGGTTTATGATATTTAAAATATTATCTGCCGTTTGATGTAAAGTGCTATGGGCGAATTACAATCGGAGTGCAAGTCTTAAGCAAAAGATCTGCAAATAAACAAGAAGGGTAGGGGTGTCAAAATGTTAATTGCCCTGTTGGCAATTAACAAGGTGGTATTGTATGTATGTTATTTTTTTCTCCTATTCTTGCAGCATTGCAGTAAGGTAGTTGCTAGCATCTCCAATCTTTAATGGCTTAGAGTCAAAGTTGTGCTACCCAGAGAAAATGCATGTGTGAATGGGGAGAACATGCAAACTACCCACATAAGGGCGCTGGTTGGAATATAATCTCAGAATCTTCTTTCTCCAGGGTAATAGTGCAGTCAACTGCACCAGTATGGAGGCCATGCAGAAACAGTGTGTCTTTTCAGGCTGCTTCAGCTTGCTGTTTTTTCACCTGGTGTTACTTTCCAACACACGTGTCACCATCACTCATAGCACATGTGTCTGATCATGCATGAGCTAAGAAAACAATAGAGCTGTGCTTGACTGGGACTCAACAGGAGGGAGGCCTAGTGGTTTGGGTTTGGGAAATCACTGAAGGATGAAAAGTTCACTGGGAACGACATCCTCTGGTCCTCAAGAGAGGGAGAAAGCGAGAGAGGCATGGGTGTGTGAAGGGGAGAGGTAGCATCTGCTGGCTCTGGGATTCTGACTCTTGCCTTTCCCCAACTTCCATGCTCAGACAACCTCACGGCTATACTGGTCCTAATCAGCAGGATACAGAATATCTCTAGGGGGCAGCCAAGGCAAGTTCCAGCTGCCTTGTGACTCCCTCTGCCCCTTGGGTATCTTTTCTCCTTACATCCTCTAGCAGCAACAACACACATAATCACACATAGACACACACAGACCCACCACACACACACACACACACACACACACACACACACACACACACATGCTTCCTTGATTTGCCTCCTACACTCATGCCCCTTTGTCATTATTGACTCATTCTCGTTGACTGCGCCTCACCCATCCAGCGCCTGCCACTCATTACCACGGGGCATTTGAGACCAGTGGATGCCCTTCCTTCAGTGTTAATAACTTAGTTTTTCACATCACCTCACCAGAGACAAAGAAAGTGTTAACAAGCATCTGAATAAGATTTAAGAGAAATTTTGTATCTTGGACTCTGCAGAAAAACCTTGAGGTACCAAAAATGTTTTTCGAGATATCATAAATTGAGCTCAAACACATGATTGGCTCATCTCTTTAGATATATTTTTCTTCACACTGCCTTGCTTGGAGGGGTTTCTAAAGTTATAAAACCCTCAAGATACCCCAGCTGACGGCACAGCGTTATAAATCACAGGCATAAATCCTCACTTTCCAAGAAGTCTGCAATCTATGTGAAAAGATGTGAGAGAAAAGAAGCACTTTAATTTGTGTGCTATAGCTTTAGAAGCACCTGGACTGACCCCAACTTAAACTCTAAAATTGTACCTTTTTTTGGGGACAAAACTAGTAGTATTTCCACAGCATTTTTTTAAACATTTACACGCCTAAATTGGTTCTTTTTCACATGTTAACTAGTTACAACCACTGGCTTGTATGTATGTGTTTTTATAACATCTATTGGTCAGGTTAAAAAATAAAATCTGTCAAAAGAAAGCTATACAAAGTCTTGCCTAAAGTTTGTTGCTAGTCATGAGGAGGACAAAGTATGTTCACAAAGTTTAAGATGCAAATGCTACTAATAATAATTTTAATTTAAAAGTTATATTGAAAAAACATATTTAACAGGAAAATTAGTATGAATTGATGGTGCTACATACAAGGAGATCCTTGAAGGAAACATCTGCTACTCCACTTGAAACTAGGGCTAAGGTTCACTTTTCAGGAGCATGACCAAATGATAAGTCAAAACGGTTAAAGGAATGGTTTAGATCAGGATATACCCATTACTGTTCAAAGTTCAGACCTTAACCAAATTACTACCTTTTGACAGATCTGAAAACTAATCTTCACCTTCAGTATATTCTTCATCCAACGTGACTTTGCTTAGGCTATTTTGAAAAGTTTATTTTTCTTACTTTTTATATCTAAGAGGCTGGTTTAAAAATGTCCCAAGAAATGTAACCCCATGCTACAAAGTGGTTTTATTATGGATTGACTTAGAGCAGACTTAAATCCAACCTTGAAACCTTTCACATTTCAATCGTCAAGCATTGTGTAGGTCTTTCACTTTAAATCCCAATAATACACACTCAAATTCTGAAATGAGAGCATGCTACTTGTAGACAGTTCTTATGATTAACTAATGTGTTTTTACTCTGTTTTTTGAAGAGTGAGTCAGACAGTAAGCTAAATTAATGCCGGTCACACCTGCAGCAGCAGTGTATGGCAGGCTTACTGTGATCAGCCTCTCCCGGTGCCACGGGGAGGTGCTGGGGTGAAATGTTGATTCATGCATGTTGATGTACAATAATGAAGTGGAGTAATGACCTGTATTTATAGAGAAAACCTGCAGGTTTGACAGGCTTGTTTAAAACACTGTGCTGGCCTACGACTGTCGAGTGCATTTGACATTATGTAGACCAGGATGTGCTGACAACATCTATTTACAAAACTGCTCCAGGACAGTACTTGCACAGTGCTAAGAGTGTGACACTGATGGACCAGTAAGATTAATTTGCACTGGGGAAAATACCTCTTGTTCAAGAAATAGAGCTATGCTGCATTAAGCTTTTTTTGTTTAATAAACCAGTAAAGAATGCAATAAGTCAGCTTTGCTTTAAATGCACAGTTTGACAGCCACATTTATCCTCAGCTGTAGGCACATGAAAAAAGCACTAAATTCCCACCTTGTGTAAACCGAGATCTGAGCCCAGTGTGATGACAGCGCAACATAGAAAGGAGTTCTGTGCAGCGTTGTTGGCGAGACTGACGTGTGCTCTTTTAGAGTTTGCCAAGTACAATAGTGAGAGGTGATGGTTCTTCTCTATACTAATTGAGTCAGCATGCACTGCAACTGGTCAAAGTGACCTTTTACAGGATTACAGTGTATTGACTCTGAGCTTCAGGGAGCATTAATAACACAGTAAACAGGCATATGGTGAAATGTAAAGCCTAGTTTGAACGCACTGTGTTAATGTCAGAAGTCACAAGAAAGGCCTTTTCTGGTAGTTAACAGGGTGGACAAGCTGTAATGAATGGGATTTTTACTATAAATATCATGTTGGTGTTGTGCGCATGAACATTTTTTTATTTAAATAAGAAAGAACTTCAGATTTTTACAGATTTATGAGTATATTTCATACTTTCAAACTGAGGTTCTCTTAAAAGGTAATGGAGAATGTAGATATCTATCTCATGTTAAATATTTAGTATAAATTCAGACCAGCTTGTCCCAAAGGATGAAATTGTGTTGCTGGTCTGGGACAGGCTAAGCCTAGCACATATCTCTGTTCTCATAAACAGCAAAGCAGGGAATATAAATGTAGAAAAGGGAAAATCTCAAAGCCTAATTAAAGCCTCTGGGTTTACTCCACTGTTTGCTCAACCTTGGAGTGACACTAACTTCATCATCTGTACTTTATTAATACTTCACTATAGGACTTTCTACAGACATTCATATTAATTTTAGATATTTGTGACCATCTGGATATTAATATTAACACTCGCTGCCAAATGATGCAGCCAAACATGCCCAAATGAAAGGAAAAAATAAAGCACAAATATTGTTGTGGTTTTAACTAATGCTCATTTATTATTTTTACATTGGTTTAACTTTTTGTTACTCTAACTGAATTATCTGCAAGACAATGATGGGTGGAGCACTCCTACATCTATTTACTGTTCAGCCAACCATTCTGTAGAGATAACTACCCAATTTGTCTGTGTAAATAGTTGAAAGGTTTATACAACAAAGTCTGGGAAAAAAAAAAAAAGTAAGGAATGCTTTATAAAAGTAGAGTTGTCTTAAGAGGTGGAACTCTAAGAAAGCTCATTTCTGCCACTCAAAGGAAAGAACAACTGGTATCATATAATTTGACTAAGCTACCTTGTAATTATGAGATAATATCTCATAATTATGACTTAGCTATCCCATAATATTAAGATTATGACATTATGAATGTACTTTTGAGAACAAGCTTTGGGAATAACAAGCTATAAGTATACATGACATGGAATAAATTGGGCCTCTTTGAAATTTTTCTGTCATTATGATACGGTAAATAAGTCATGCTTATGAAATAAAATGTCCTTAAAAATACCTAGCTGTCTCATAATTATGACAAAAAAAGTTTATTTTAAAAAATAATAATTATTATTATTATTTTTATCCAATGTGCTTTCATAGAGGCCCACTTTAGTCCAGGTCAGTAATTCTCAAATTCTTAAGCACACCCTTATTGGTGTTGCAGCATCATGACAGTAAGGGCACAATTTTATTCAGGAAACAGTTTTGCAATGAAATAGGCAAATTCTTAAATCAGGTGCAGGATCTATTTGCAAAAAATGAAGGTACCCCCATTACACTATAATGTCCCCAGTGTGGTACAATGTGGGTATTTCTATTCTATTCTATTCTATTCTATTCTATTCTATTCTATTCTATTCTATTCTATTCTATTCTATTCTATTCTATTCTATTCTATTCTATTCTATTCTATTCTATTCTATTCTATTCTATTCTATTCAATATATGTGATGAAACCCAGACAGAAAGGGATGGAAACAGTACAGTTAAAATAACATGTTACTGCCATTGGATATACCAAAATAGTAATCTAAAAAACACACCTGATTTTTATGCTACAGTGCATCACTTAACTGTGTTTTTTTTTGTTTTTTGTTTTTTTAATGAACAAAGATATAATTTTGAAGACAACAGCTTCCTATCTATCCACAGATTGACTTACCTGAACTACAGGATGTCCCCCAGACAGTGCCTTCACAGCTCCCCGGCTTCCCTCCGTCTCATAATGTGCCCTATGGTGGGATTTTGGCTGCACCTCAATCTGCAGGTTATACGGACCGGAGCAGGACGGCAACTGCCAGTCAAGAGCCGGCAGAGAAGGGCTGAAAGGGCAAAACATTTTGATTGCTTTAGAGTTCAAGTCACTTTAGATTAAGTTTCTTTACATTTATGCATCTTTTGTGTCTTTCATTTCAAATGTAACATAATTTTGCAACCATGTATGCATACTGCATGCTTCACTGTTTCCTCACTGTATCTGCAGCTTCCAGGTTTGCTTTAAATTAGCCACAAATTGAGGTAATCCAACTGGCTTGATGTCTATGCATTTCTTAATAGCACTAAGTCTAATCAACTTACTAGCTAGACCTGGATAACTCTTAAGGAATGGTTAATCATTTGTTGTGTCTTTATGTAAAAGCAAATGAAAAGCAAATGTGCTCTAGTTTGAGAGCTGTGTTTTACATTAGAGCATTACAAGTGGAAACAGCCACAATGAATTAAGAAAGTGACAGTGGAAGGAAAGATATGTCAGGGGAACGCAAAAAACCTCATACTGTCTGGAACTTAGTGAATGCTTTATCGGGATGGAATAACACTGAGATTCTACAACAAAACCCTATCAGTTCTAAAGAAACCAGAGCGTGAAGTGCAACCCATCTTAGAGTGTGATATCTCTTTCTCCGAGCTGCAGCTGGCATCCCTCAACATCATTGTTCTCCAGATGGAGAGTCACAGATTCCCATGTGAAAACTGTAGAGATATCTAAACCAAAACAAACATGTGCAGGACAATATTTCTCTGTGCCGGATGCCTGCTAAACGCAAACCCCTGACCCGAGGGGTGGGTTGACTGAAACCAATCTCTGGCATCTTTGTGGAACTTGCAGGCTGTTTGTTGACCCAAAACAATCTGATTTCCCCCCACAGGGCTTTATCTGCCCAGTCGGTGCATGACATCATGATAGCTGCATGGTAAAAAGATGGTCTAATGGCGCGACAGACCAGCGCGACGAGCCAGCTGATTAACTCCCAGACTGCTTCCCCTTCAGCTCAGCCTGTCACCGTTACTTCCTGTTACTCACTATCTTAATCAAACACTTGATTTCCGACAGGAAAGTGTGTTATTGGCAAAGAAAGACATGTCACAAAGGAGGGAAGAAAGAAGAAACACAAAAGCTCACCTTCAGTGTTTGTTTGGATGTGTGTCCACACAATATGTTTGTGTCAGTTGTCATAGCAACAACTGCATACACATGGAAAGCAGGTCCTCTGCACAAAATATGATTGATGAAATAGTTCTGATCTTCAAAGGGAGCTTATTTGGAATTGAGGAGTATGTATCTTTGTTTCTCTGCCTTTTGAAACTGCCTTTGAAGATTAAAAACCGAAACAATCTTGTCATCCAAGAAAAATAAACAGAACTTATTATAGATGCAAAAATACAATAAATGAGTCAGGTTGTGGTTGGTGAAGTGTGTGCTCAGTAAAAAGCTGTTGAAAGGCTTAGAGCTAAAGATCATAAGCCTGTTTAAGGTAGTAGAAGTGTGAACTTCTAAAGAAAGTTTTGAAGTAGGTTGGGTTGAGATGCTCTACTGAAGTTATGCATTGGTGACACTGCATTTAAAAAAGACAATGGGGGTTTATAGAGTGATGTCTTGCACATTCTTTTTACATGCTTAAACTTTGCAAAGGTGACTGCTTTATGCAACTTTGTTGCTTTTAACAAGCCTACCAAAGATATTTTTTCAGAATGAGCTGTGAGAGGTGTATAGTGGGCTGTCTTCCCCTTGGAAAGATTGCAAATTCAGTAATAAATATTATGTGGAATAGGAAGGGGCAACAAATTCTGCATTATTAAAGTTTGATCTTTTTTTTGAACAAATTAAACATTGTGGAATATTCCAGTCATAATTTGAGATTGCAAAATCTTGTGATATTAATGCTTGTCTAACTATAATCTTCTTGTATGCTCAAAGTGGTTTCATTATGGGTTTATATCATAGAATGGAAGATATAATAGAGGTATTTTACAAAATAATTTTAATGTGTTGCTTTACAGTTTATAAAGTCTAAGAATTAGCAGACTCCATTAACAGCTGAAGAGATTCTTTATTTTTTCTTAACAAAAGAAAGAAAAACTCTTAAGCAAACTAGATAAAACAGCATGTTACTTTTAAATCATGACATAAAAGAATATTCTATTGTTGATTATTTGTATGAAGTCAATCAGAGACAGATATAGTTTTAATATCATGAAATCTTTTTGGCAATTGATTGCGTTACACCCCATGTTAGGACTAAATGCATTTAAACACGACTCTTGTTAGATGAGAGGAATTACAAGATTTAACCAACCTACAACTCATATCAGGAGTGTGAAGGAACAGAAAATGTTTTTTATTTTTTTTATTTTAATGGAGATAGGCTTTTAAAAGCAGTAATAGCTCACCTGAGGTATGGCTTATGTTTAGGCCAGGAGTATGGATGCTGGGGCACATCCAGGAAGCCTCCACCGTAATTTTCCTTCTTAAGGGTAAGGCGGGAGGAGTAGTCTTCATTTCGAGGTTCTCCTTCAGGACCAAGCTCCTCACCTCCAGGTTCCACCTTAAGACTTAGAGATGGTGAGAGGTCCAGCATCGTCTTCCGTGTCTTCATTGGGATTCCTTCCCCAAGGTCGACCACTCCATCTGTAGTGAGAGCATTAATAGCTGCTACAATGGCTGAGTTGGTGTACTGGTTGGTGTTGGCAAGCCAGTTCTCGTCTGTGACGCTGACTCTTGGGGAACCGTGTGAAGAAGGGGTGGGTGAGTGGTTGGGGGAGCATGATGACTGCTGGTAAGAGGAGCCATTGAAACTGTACTTTCTTTTCCCCATACCACCACTGTTTCCTCCACTAACTCCACTGCAGGAAGGGGAGTTGGGCCGGGACCCACGGGGTTGTGTTGGCCACCCTTCCTCTGCCATAGCTCCTATTTGAGGAGAGTTAGAGGGTGAACGGTGAGGTGAGGCTGCAGGACCGATGGCATGTGGACAAGACAGAAGTGAAGATGAACCTCTAGGTGAAACGCTGGGAGACTGCCAGGGCGAGTTCTGAGGGGAATTGTCATAGTTGTAAAAGCCAGACTCATAGGATGAAGCCTCTGAGTTACAGCTGCGGGAGGATATGCTGCTTGCAGGGCTTAGACAGCTAGGGTCACGGTATCCATCAACATTTGGCAACGTCAGGGTTACAATGGAGTTGACGCCTCGTTTGATTATGTGATCTTCTCTACTGCTGGCTTCTATGTCATCCTCTGGGTATTGGCTATAGGCTGTGATCTCTATACGAGGGCTTTCCAGAGCTGGAGCTCCACCAGGTCTTAAGCTTTGAGGCAGATAATAACCTGATGCTGCATTGTTGTCATTTTGAATGTTGTAGCCAGTCTGATGGCAAGAGGAAACTGGGATGACAGGACTGGACTGCAAGGTGTGGTACTGCGTTGTTAGACAGGGGTTGCCCATGCCAATTGGAAGACTGATGTTTGGGGTGTAGTTGTATGCATCTGAAAAACAAAAACCCAAACTATAATTAAAACACATTTAGATAGATAGATAGATAGATAGATAGATAGATAGATAGATAGATAGATAGATAGATAGATAGATAGATAGATAGATAGATAGATAGA